CACGCCAATACATGTAATACACACACCAGTCCTTAAAAATAAAGTTTGCTGTGAAACATTTCAGGTGAAGGTGGCAGTTTGGTTAGATTTAGGCAACAACACTACTTGGTTTAAGACAAGCTCATGGTTTAGGTTTAAATAACAACTTCCTTAAAACGATGACTATTGGTTTCACATGAGAAACAAACTCTGGTTTCCTCTGTGAAAGTCTTGTTTGACGCATTTCTTTTATGCTTGATCCTGTGCATTTAATAGCAAAAATTCTTCAGTACAATTTTGAGCTCTTAAGAAGTTAAACTGTTTGCACAATGGGTCCAAAGAAAATAGAACCTGAAGACACAACATTGCAGGAAAAACACACCTTTAAATGTAAAATGGCATAACAGTCTTGTTATATGCACAGAATATAAATGAATATTTAAGTTTCAACTGATGCTATAGTTTTTGTTTACCTTTGCTTTGCACTGAAGTTGTCAGCTTGTGTCTTTCTGCCCACAGCGTTCGGTCAGCCTCCCTGCAGATTCAGGCCGTGCCGTAGTAATATGCTGTAGAGTGTTTATCGCTGCCTAAATGCAACCTCACTCGCATATACTGTACGTGGTAGAGAATACCCAATTAAAGCATATGGTGCTTAAGCCCTGCTACAGTGAGGATTTGTTTTCATTTTAGTCAGTCCATTGTGCCTGCAGGCCCTGTATAAACAAGCTGCAGATCAGGAATGATCAACAGGTCAGGGCCTTACTGAGTAGTTAATTTTTCTTATTGACTATGTGCATTAACCCTTACAAGAAGAATTATGGCTGGAAATGCAAAGTTTGTCACTTTTTTCATGGGTTGTGGTCAAGTTCTGCAAATGTTTGCCTGCAGGTTTGTATGTTGAGTCACACTTGGAGCTGTTGCCCATTTATTATGTTGTTTACATTTGTAAAATAAACTTTTTTTTAAATAATGCATTGTTAGTAATACTGTGTTTTTTAAAAGTAGCACTTACACAGGTTGTGTACGTACATGCTCAAACAGATGTCGTCATTGCCCCCAGCTGATGTTCCAGCGCCATGCTGATAACATTGTGGGTGATACTTCAAAGTTCCTGTATTACCAGTCTGCATGTGTGTGCCCTAAAGCAGTGTGTGTATGTGTCTGTGCATGTGTTTGGATGGGAGCTGATTGTGTTAAACAGACTGGCTGTGCAAGTCTGATAGGTTAACAATGGCTGTCACGCTACAAACGGCCTTCTCTATGTCACTGCCTCCTTTGCTGAAGATAACAACTTTGGGCTGAGGATTCTGGTAAAGTTGCATCTTAAACAATTGCATGTCTCCAACGCCCAAAGCAGAAGAAAATCACTGGGGCTCATATTTAGATCTCCTTTTTAAAGAAAAGGAGATGAAGCACAGATTGTTCTTGCTTTGTACCCATTGTACTGGATAATCCCTTCAACCAAATTCAGCTCCCTTTTAATCTGAAGAGGTGTCAGGTTAGATGGCACACCTCATCCCTTTTTTCTTGCACATCAGGATTCTCACCATCACCTGTCACTCACCTGTCCAATCAGTGTTTCTTTCCTCTGTCATCAGTTCTCTGATCTCTCCCCTCGCTCATGTTGCTGCTTGGCTTGTCCTTGCCTGCCACCTCCTTCACTGACGTTGCTCGTCAGATATGACCTTTACAGCCAGGTTTTATTCCATCTTTCACTAACCTGTTTAAATATTAAACTTCTTCCACTTCTCCTTATCTTCAGCTCCCTGTACCATGCAGTGAAAGAGGCTGCTTCCCTTTAATTGTACAGTGCATGTATATTGGAGGTTCTACATGTTATGTAGGCGCCATGCAATGTAGACAATAGTAAGAGCTGGTTGATGGTCTGTTCTGGAGGATTTCTCGATGCTCATATTGATGGATAACACTCTTGGATGCACTCTTTCACTTTGGACTGTCAATCTCGGGCTCTATTATTAGTGTAGAGCCAGCGCAATGTCGTCTTTTTGTCACATCACGATCTTGACTCCTGACACTAGTTCGATTTGTACTCTCCCACTTGCAACTTCTGTCTGTTATGTGTAATTTTTTGCTTTCATAGTGAGACCAGCATAGCTGGTGTTTCATGAAATGTTTTTCAGGAATTAATCAAATGACTGTAGAGTTTCCCCAGCCGTTTATTGCGGGGAAAAAGCTTATTTTTCCTGAGCTGAGAAATGTACTTTTATGATTAATGAATACACTTTAATTGATAGCTGTGTGTGTGTATATACTTTATTGTACAAGGCCATACATTGAGTATGTGAAGATGCTACTGTATTAATCCACAAAATGTGAGCACTGTCATTGTTAGTTCATCTCAGTTATTAACCAGAGCATCACAATATATTGCTTTTTCTTGTCTGTAGATGTTGTGGATAAAGGTCTCAATCAGTAACAATTAGGGGGGGGGGGGGGGGGTGTTAGCTCTAACAGCTCTCTACTCAAGATGGCACAAGCAGTACTGCTGGTCAGGTACTGGTGTGAAGTTGATTTTGAAGTTTGATATTCACACGCTGGAAGTTCCTTCTTGGTGTCACCAGCTCCATGTGGATGGCATCAAATATTCCAAAACAAGTAGAGCGCCTGACTGGACCACTTCTCTGCATCTCCGTCTCGCTCTCCAAAACACCCTCCCCTCTGCCTGGTGATGCAATCCGGATCTAGCAGAATTTAGAACTGTATACTGTCCTTTATATGCTGTGGAGGGCAGACAAGCTGATATTAATCACATGTTTTCTTTGTTGCTGCTGTGATATTTTAACCGTGCAGCACACACAGACGTGTGGAACATCCAGTGCCAAACCACTATGAGCACTGTCACAAGACTAATACACTAATAATTAAAAACATTCACGATGTGTAGTAATTGACCTGGACCCAGGCTTTGAACACATAACACCAGATGGACTGATTTTTATAAATTTGTGTGTGCACGAATTTCAGACATCTGTGTATCTCATTGTATGTATTGGAGATTAGTCACTGTGAATCTGGAACTCCATCTAAATCAGAACAGATTTTCCTTTATTTCTCATCACATTTTCTCTCTCTGCCCCTCCTGATTCCCATGAATCACTTCTCTCTGGCTTGTCTTGTAATTGTTTGGCCCAGTGTTTCCCCACTGACGGTTAATGCTCAAAGAATCGCCAGAAAAATGTCAGCAGTAAGGGCTGGCATTCGTATCCATGTTCACACGTTCACACATTCACAAATATCAGCTGAGTGGTCGATAGCCGCTGTGTAATAAATATTCCTCTCATCTGTCATGATGCGGCTTCATGCGTCATGTCTGGTGGTATAAATGAATATGGGAATGCAGAGCTTGTCACTTTTCATGAGTTGTAGTCATGAGAGAGTTTCCGAAAATGACTGTTCGCCTGCAGGAGTCGGCCTTGTTTGTTGTCAGAGCTGTTGCCCATTTATCATGTTGTTGTTGGTTACATGTGTTTACTTGATCTTGCGTCTCCTGTCCTCCGCAATTCACTACATATTAACTTGGTGACATTTAAACACATACTGTAAACAAAATCATGTGTGGAAAAATGTTTGCCTGCTCTTCTGTAATCAGAAGCCAAAATAATTTATGCATTCCTTTTGTCAGTTAAGAAAATATGGCACGTGAGATTCCAATAATGTAACACATGTGGTGTTGTTTTTAAACGCAGGCAATATTGTCTCATGATGTGCAGAAATGACGAGCTTTGTGTGGTTGCAGATGGTTATTAAGTTGAACTTGTTTCCATTTGTTGCCTTTTACTCTTACATTTTTAAATGTACAAATCTTATATTGTATCGATCTCCATCAGTTTCAGTCTATCCTACACACACAGCAACTGTGTCTGTCTGATTCAAGCTTCTCCTAGTGGGTCAGTACCAGTTACGGCTCTGTACTTTCCCTGGAAGAATCATGTGCAGTAATTTCCTAAGAAACTATAGAGGACTGAGAAACATTTGAGGGATTGCGTATGGGAAAGAGTGATAGAGGACAAGGAGTAATGTCAAAACAGCTCATTTGGAACAGCTTCTCTTCATTTGGTCATGAAGGGAACTCTCCTTTAAAGGTACTAAATACTTTTAAATCCTGATGGTTGCTCAGTGGTTTGACTGTCTGGCAGCCATCAGCCCACCCTCCAGACGGGTAACCGAAGACTGGAAATACTTTTCTAGGAAAAACGCTAGAAGTTCATCCTTTTTCCTTCCCAGTAGGAGTGGACTTTCTTGCCAAAAAATATCAGGATCTTTATAATAGCAGTCACGATCCACAATTTAAATTGCAAATTTTGAAATGCCCTGTAGACTATAGACAGACTTTTTTAAATAGCCTATTGAGTTTCTCCCTTTGCACAATTAAAATGATTGAATTAAAGATGATACAGAAAATGGTGATTAAAACCTGAGTTCAGTTTGAAGTTGTAAACAGAAGCCAAAAAATAACAATAAAATAACACTAAATTAATTGCATTCTAACATCTAATGGTATTCAGTTTTACTGAATGGCTTCAGTAAGTTTGGTATTCTCCGGGAAAAACAAAATTGTTTGAATAGACTTTTATGGAATGAGTGTTTCTCTGCAAATCTGCATATTGAGCTGGAACCATCAACGTTTAGAATTTTTGCTGGAAAAAGAGGTTGCCAAGTTTCTTATGATTGACTGACTGGTCATTGCAGCCAAGTGTGAAGTACACTGAGTTTAGTTTATTATTTTGAAGTTTCTGGCTATCAAAACAGAACATTATACATTTGTTGTTCATTTGGACACAGTCATTAAAAAGATCCATCTTTGAAATTGATGCAGAGTACTTGTATTTTCAGTCATCTCTCCTCATATAGTATACCTTTTATGACATACCCGTTCCAATCAAATCAAGCTATTCAGTAAGGCGGTTGCTTTACTGATTAGCCAAGAGTGACTTATGTAAAAATATCTAAGACTGTACATTAGATAGATGCATAATGTTTTCATTTGGCGTGTGTTTCAGGAGTCTGGTTCCCCCTGGCTGAAGACGGCTTGTGTGTCGCGCAGCACCTTTCCACCCAGGACCCACTGTGTTGCCATAGCGCCCATGAGGTAACGTCAGGACCTTCCGCCCCCTCATTACCACCCTTGGTCCATCCATTTCCCTCCCCTCTAGCCCTTCTTCCCTTGGACCCACCCAGCCATGGGCCAGAAGATCTCTGGCAGTATCAAATCAGTGGATGCACGCGGGGAGCCCTCCTATCGGCCAGTACGCCGAGAACTGCGGGGCCCAGATTTTTGTCGGCCCCCAAGGCTGGACTTACTATTGGACATGCCATCGGCCAGCCCTGAGACCCAGCTTCGCCACGCCTGGAACCCTGATGACCGGTCACTCAATGTCTTTGTTAAGGAGGATGACAAGCTGACATTTCACCGACATCCAGTGGCACAGAGCACGGACTGTATCCGTGGGAAGGTGGGCTACACTAGGGGCCTTCATGTTTGGAGGATTCACTGGCCGGCCAGACAAAGAGGCACACATGCTGTTGTCGGTGTGGCTACTGCTGAAGCAGCTTTACACTCAGTGGGCTACACAGCCCTGGTGGGCTCGGACTCTGAGTCCTGGGGCTGGGACCTGGGTCGGAACAGACTCTACCATGATGGAAAGAACCGGCCCATTTCCACATTGGCACCCACATACCCCTGTTTCCTGGAGCCAGATGAGTCATTTGTGCTCCCAGACTCTCTGACAGTAATACTAGATATGGATGAGGGAACACTGAGCTTCATGGTAGACGGACAGTATCTGGGAGTAGCTTTTAGAGGGCTAAAGGGCAAGAGACTGTATCCCATCGTCAGTGCTGTGTGGGGGCACTGTGAAGTATCAATTCGCTACGTCAACGGACTAGATCGTAAGTGGCACAACACTGACACACATGCTCAAAAAGCCAATCAGTTTAATTCTTTTAGTTCCTACAGCTCTTTAATGGCAGGCAGAATGATGGCTGTATGATGTTTTTGATATGTCAAATTTTAAGGGATGTTAGGGATGTCCCAAGCCGATCCGGGCATATTTTAATGGATAGTATCGACTAAAATAAAGCCGATCAAAATCCTTTCTTTACTGTACTCTGCTGTGTTTTGTCCACCTCAGCCTGCTAGTGTTGCTGCTCACTGCTTTCCTTTATGACGTCCACATATGTTTGACGTCAAAAAACGCACTGTCCTTGTGAAATTTTCCACATAATCCCGGTTGAAGTTTAGCATACTCCCTCATTATTAGATCCATACAGCTTTTTAAGATCTGTTCATGCACTGCATTGTGTGTAGATACCTGATTCAGCTTGATTTGTTTTATATATAACCTGTAATAACTTATTACAGCAAATGTCAATAACACCTAGCCCTCTTTTTATCAAATTATCTCCCAAATATGAAGACTAGCGCTTGTTTCAGTAGCACCGTTTGCATTTGTCTTTGCAGAATCTTGGATAGGTGGATAGGAATGAGACGTTTTGTTTATGTATGAAACTTCAGATAGACTTCTGTTTGGATCTGCTCATTAAAGCTGTAAAAGCCCAGGGTGAGATTTGTTCTTTAACATTATGGGAGTCCAGGGTAGGACCAGAGTGGGAGAGGAGGAGGAAAAGAGATGGAAACAGAATTCTGGGAAAAGATGTGTAGTCAGCCATCAGGCCAGGCCAGTTATGTGTGTCCAGTTGTATTACAGCATGCTGTTGTTTAAAACATCGACGGTTTGTAGAGAGGCACAGAGAGAGAAGTCTGAATAAGGAACCTGGGTCATTTTGACAGCCTTTACTAAACACCTAATCCTCTGGAAAAGACACGGTCATACAATCCTTAGCGTGGCTAAAATGGTCTTTACTTTGTAATATTGGAAAAGTTTTAAAAACTATAACCTCTACTACTACTGTTGTGGTTAATTTCCAAATACATAGATCTGGTCTCCAGAAATTTATAAGGTTTAAGGCAAGACTAGGAAGGCTTTATTTTACTAGAGAATGGGGGATAGATATATAGCGCACATTTCTGTCTGCACTGATCTATAAAAAGCCCACAATGAGAGACTGCTGCTCTGTTTACCAATAGGAAGCAGCTTAAACATGCTCTCTTTGTACTATTCTAGTCTGCTTCCCTCTATAGCTTTTGAGCACTTTCTCTAGTCTTCAGACAATTTGTCCCGAAACTTTCACAAACTCAGAGAGCAAAACAAGACAACGGTTTCCACCTCTCTGATGTTATTGGAACATCTCTTTCACCAGTGTCCTGAAATCACCATATAGATCAGTTGGTGTGTCAGCTTGTCTTAAGGTTTCTCTCTGCCCTGCTGCTCTTTTCTGTTAAATGTCATCATTCCAACTAGTAGCGTTATCTCAATCATGTCTGCCTCCTTAGATTGTGTAATAGCCCCCCGTCCTCCCCCCTGCTTTAGCCTGTATGTTGCACAAAGACCCAAAGCAGGCTGGGGGCGTTGCAGACATTGAGGCATGGACACCATGTCCGTGGCTGCTAGCCATGTGTGTGTGTATGTGTGCTGGCAGACAGCAGCCAGTAGAGGAGGAATTCTGGAAGATGTCCCAGTGTGCCTCTGAGCTCAGCGTCTGGCCTTTCATAGTGGGATATGTCGAGTTTGTGGTGTGAGTGTGAAGTAGCTTATGTGCACATAAAGTGTATAGAGTGGCACATATTCATGCTTCATTAAAGCTGTAATGTAAAAGTAAAATCTGTCATGCGTTTTGGTTTCAGTGTAAGATGTAGCTCGAGTGGGGAAAATATGTTCTTGAAGCACCAATACTTGGGAGACATCCGCAATGTATAAACATGGAAGTGGCCTTTCATTAGTTAAAATTTTAATTAAGCCGTATTTAACATTCTGCAAATCAGCATCCTCTCAACAGTTCTCTGTGGCTATTACAGGCCTCTAGCTCATTGTTTTGGTTGTGTGCATCCAGTGCCGATTCATACAAATCGGTAGGAGAGTGGAAGGAAATGTGTTTCTGGTGAACACATTTCATGCCATATATTCCTCATGAGTTAGCAGACTAAACAGAATATTGGGTTTTCTTGGTCTTACAGCAGGTGCTTAGAAAGAGGACTCAAAAGGGATCCCCCATGTTGCCCCTTTTGTTCCAAATGTCTCAGGCTTTTTTGCTGAAAGGGGAACTCTGCTGATTTTACACATCAAAGTCTGTTTTGAGGTCTTGGGGAGTGTCACTTGAGTCAGCGTTTGTTGGGGCTACAAGAAAGAACAGAGCTTTCCAGACCTCTGTAGCCCGCTCCTAATCTCTCCTTTAGGTTAGAGGCTCGAGGCTACATTAGCCGCTACTAGCGTAACTCAACTAAATCTCTGACCGAACTGTCTGAGTTGCTTTGTGGATAATTTAAGCGACAGATTTTAACAAGAAAGAAGGAAGTGTGGAAGAGAAATGACTATCTCTGGTTGTGCTGCATCGATTTGATTTCTTACGTAACCTGTCTCTCTTAGATGCCAGAGATAGAACTGGGTGTCTCTAATGAAACAGTTAGAAATCTGTTTTTAGAAAAAGCTCAAGCACATTCTAGCTCCACTAGAAACCACTAGCTTGACCAAAGCTGCATCATCCTGCGAACACTGTCATCAGAAAATTGAACAATTGACCGTGACCAAACTTCATTAATATATTCTATTACATAGCTATCGTATACAGCCAGAAGAAATAAAAAAAATTCAAGCTTGTACTGTCAAGTACATTGTTTACTGTGTAGTCTGGTTGACATATCCTTGGATTTCAAAGGACAGGTTGAAATAACCCCAAAATTTAAAGGATGGGTTGTTTGGGCTCTTTCTTCCGCCATTTGTTTGATTATAGCCTATGAGTGCAGAATGACAGCTACAACATCAACTTTGTATTTAAAATCAAATTCATTACATTGCATAATGCATTAACATCTCAGCCATTTGTATTGAGCAAATGTACAGTAGGCTGTTCTGACATTGTTTACATTGACAAACTGGCTGAAAATGTGAGTTTAGACAAATGTGTCTCAACTCTCCATGCAGCCATTAGACCTGACAAATGCATGAATGTGAACTAAGTGATTAGATCCCAGTTTGGGAAACAGTAGTGCTGGGGTGACTCATCGACGACATTGATTACGACCATCTAAAGTTTAGGAATATTAGACGGTGACCTAACAATGTGGTGCAAACTTCTGTGATGGTTAGGGTAAGGGACTTCAGGGGACTGTCAACGCCTTAAACACAAACTTCGCTTCGCTAGCTTACTCATATAGAGAGCCTAAGTCACTCACTTCTGCTTCTGACTCATGGCAGCTTGTTTCGGGAAAAAAACGACAACTTGTTTTTTTTTATCCTGTTTGAACTGTGACTTTCTTGACTTTGAAATGTATTTTAAATTGACCATGTGTAATTCAGAGCACAATTGAAACGGGATCAAAAAAATTGTCTCTTGCCATTGACTACTGTATATATTTTCTTTCCAAAGTAAGGTCCCATGGTGGTCCACCGTGAAATAACTAAGCTTTGTCAAGCGTGGGTATATGATTTCTGAGAGAACAGGTAATGTGGAGCCCTAGTAAACAGGCTCTGCAGTGTTTTGTCTTGCCAAAACTGTAACAACACAGCATTCTCATTATTCACTTTGTGTAGTTTGTGTCTGTGTGTGAGAGCTAGTAGAAACCACAGAAGTGCACGGATAGTTTGATCAGTCTGTTTCTTGCCAGACTAATGAAGCTTGGAGATGGCAAAACAGTGTTTGCTAATGGAAACGGCTAATGGCGCTAACTTATGAGCCTGAACTCATGTCAGTCACTAGTTTTATTTTCCTTTTTTCTTAATTGTACACATCAGAGATGACTACTGATGCATCTGTCACCATGATATTACCTTTACTCATACATTAAAGGCTGCCTAGTACAATATCTAGGATGTCAGTTGAGTTTGCCCATGAATGTTCAAAGAGCTTATGTTTTGACAAAATACACATGCAAGATCAGTGTACTATATCGGGCTTAAGCACATCTCCATGTTGTAAATAGAGAAAAATGAAAGCAATAAAATGTACGCTTGGAGATGGCAACGCTCCCCTTTTCCCAGATCTTGCTTTTGTGCATCATCTTATAGTAACTCAATGAGGATTCACTTTCTTGGTCTTTCACTTGTCTTGTGGTATCTTTAAACCTCTTTTTCTTCCTTCTCCTTCCTGCTTAATTTTTTATTCTCCATCTCTTACTCCATGGGAAGCAAGAAGAGATAAGTATCCCTATACTTTTCTCCTCTGTCTATATTGTCCCCTAAAACCCTGCAGTTATGCAGTTTTATCATCCTTCTTGCATTTTGTGAACAGTCCTCTGGCTCGCAGTCCCAGAGACACTTAAACCAACCCTACTGAGACATGAATTATATTTGTTTTCATACCTCTGGCTCGCTAACATCTAGTACAAAACGATGGGGTTGCTGGATCTTGGCATTCCTATTCTTGGAAAGCCATCATTTTCTCTACACCTCATGACACCACACTGGCCTGGCCAGCCTAATAACAACAACAAGATGCTCCAAACTCCTTTACACCAGAAGGACTCAGAGAAGAGGAAGCTTTTTATGCTGACGTGCTTGCCCTCCCCTTTTCAAATGTGAACCGTATTTGACTCCAGCTCTCCATTGTGTTTCATCTCATCCCTCCTGCTATCCTTTCTACGCCTTCTTTTTTTCCTCCTGATCCTTTTCAACACTAATCCTTCCTTTCGGTGTTTACAACACCCAATTGTGTTGTCAGGTTGCTGTGGAAACAGTTAAGTTGACTTGTTGGTGGATAGGTGGATGATTAATTGTTGACCAGGCAGCTTGCGCACTAGTTTGTTTAAGGGCTTGCTTTATGCAAATGGGTTCTCT